CTCCTTCTACACATGGGAATTTTTTTTATTGAACTTGTTTTTTTGAATATTTTATCTTATACTTGGTAATATAATTACTTTTTATTTTAAAAGTTTTCAATGATTTGAAATATATTTAAATCAAATTATTATCATTTTTGTTAATAAAAGTAAATTCCTTGCTAGTGGCAAAAAAATCCTTATTATAAGTAAACTCGTGCGTTTTAACAAAATTTACGTATGAAAAACTTTCGCTACGTTTTATTGGCAAAAAAAAAAAAAACTTTCGCTCCGTTTAGCAAAAAGGCGTTAAGGTGGGAAATGAATCGGAGTAATCTTTAGGTGAAGGTACCATTAATTGCACGAAGCATCATCACGGTATCTCTCTTCTTAGTATCCCCAAGACTCCGGCAGGGAGATTTCAACAATAAATTTCAAGTCAAGCCCCAGTTGATTATCTATGGCAGCAGCCGACCTAAGGCTTTTGGTCAGAAAAAGACCTTTTTTTTTCCTGGTAAAAAAAAACGAAAAGACTTTTTTTCTTTTTATTAATTATTCCAGACAATTTGTTATTTAAGTAAGATTGGGTTAAATTGAAGCAATTTATTAGCATTAAATAAATCATTTATAAGCCAACTTTCTTATTCAGGAATGCGGCAGGATGGATATGCACCCTCAATTTTATTAATGATTTCTAATGCATATCTTTTTTTTTTTTTTTTTAATATAGCTCACAGTGTTCTTATTTTGAACTTGAGACTAATATTTGTCTAGCCCAAAATGTTAAGGTTAAAGTTTTTTCTGTAAGTGCAATTCTTAGGATTCAAACTTAAGTTCTTCCCTTTACAGGAGTGTGACCACTTACTATCTCAACTAACAGCTAAATTTTAACAGTTTTAATTTAAAAATTAATCTTCTTTAAACCAAAGTATACACTTTTACTTACAAAATTAACTAAATTTTAAGCTAAACTAGCCGTGAAGAATTTTTTAATTTAAAAATTAATCTTCTTTAAAAATTAATCATCTAAACTCAACAAGTGCTAAACCAAAGTATACAATTTTATTCACAAAATTAACTAAATTTTAAGCTAAACTTATGTGGAAGAATTTTTTTAACGGCTTTAGTTTAAAAATTAATCTTCTTTAAAAACATGAAAAATCTCATGTGGGCTCCAACATTGATTTGCAAAGTGTACAACTTGACAAGCTTTTGTCCAAAATTAAATGTCCACACCTTGAAATGTATTCAATGGAAGACGTGAACAGATCAAATTTATTGAATTTTTTTTTGGCCAAACACATTTATTGAATTTAGATCCCCGTAAATTTTGTCACTAAGAGTCTGTTTGACTCAATAAGAAAAAGAGGAGGGATTTTATTGGATGAAAGAGGAGGGGAGGGAGTGAAAAGATTTTAATATTATCTTATTTGGATTTACAAAAAGGGAGGGGAGGAGTAGAGTTTTACTATTACCTTGTTTGGTTCATGAGGGGAGGGGAGGGAAAAATATTTTACATGAACAATTTTGCCCTTATTTTATTTAAGATTATTTTTTCAAATTTTATGGAATGTTTAATAAAATAGAATTATAAATAACATTTAATATATTAAACAATATTTATACTAAAATTCTAATATACTCTAAAGCGTGAAGTATTATTGAAAAGGAGGTTGAAGTAATGTTCAACCACAATTTATACTATATCCCATCTTTAAATGAAATATTTGGCCAAACAAATAAGCTCATTAGTCGTGAGACCTCGTTTTCATCTATTTTTATCTTCGTTTATTTAATTGTCCATTTTATTTTTTCAAATTTCACATTTACATGCAAAGGAGAGAGCAGTATTTGGAGACAAGAAGAAAAGGATTTAGAATAGTATAGGGATATTAAAAATAAATATAAGTATAATAGTCACAACATGGCAAAATATTGCTCTTTTCCTCCAAATCTTCCTAATTTTGGAGGGTAGGCTGAGGAGGGGAGGGGAGGGAAAATTTTAAAAATTTTCCCTCCTCTCTTAAAATTTGTGTGTCACTAAATAAGGAGAAATGATTAAAATACTTCCCCCTCCCTCTCCTTCTCTCCAAATCCCTCATACCAAACGCCTCCTAAGTGTCTGTTTTGTTGAATGGGGAGAAATGAAAGGGAGGGTTTTAATGAATGAAAAAGAAGGGAAAAGGAGTGGAGAATTTAAATATTATGTCCTTTGGATTTATTAAAAAAGAGGGGAGGAGAAGATTTTTAATATTATCTTGTTTGGTTCATAAGGAGAAAGGAGAAAAAAATATTTTAACATGGATAATTTTACCCTTATTATATTTAAGATTATTTTTCAAATTTATAGAATGTTTAATAAAATAGAATTTTTTCTCCCCTATTAAAATTTTATGTTGTCAAATAAGAGGAAATGACCAAAATCCCTTCTTATCCCTCCTTTCTCTTCCAAATCCTTCATGCCAAACATCCCATAAAAGTCTCGTAATCTCTTTTGACCACCAAAAAAAAAAAGTTACGGAAAATCCTAATTAATTAATAAAAAGTTTGGTCTTCTTTAAAAAACATAGGGATAAAGTGCCAAGGTATTTCGAAAGTATACAAAAAAAGCACCCAGCACCCACGTACTTCCACGGCATTTGAGAATTAAAAATTTTTTTTTTAGGTGTTAGTGTTTTTTTTAATATACTTTCAAGGTATTTTAACACCCTATCCTAGATATATATCACAAAGAATTAATGTCCGAATTAATGTCCGAGGCTTTCTAGAATTTCAGACAAAGCTTTTTTTATTGGACCAATTTAATTTCAGACAAAAAGACAAAATGACAGGGATTCTTTTCTTTCATTTACCGGCCTGCCTTGGAATATATACTAAACGTGTGCTTTACAAACATAATTTCCGCGTCTGTGAAACCGCAGTGTGGGGCCCATTTTACCATTTTTAAATCTCATTTTCTCGCCAGTAATTTTTTTCCTATTATTTATTACTTAGAGTAGATTCCGTGTATATTCAAAATAATTATAATTATATATGCGAGAAAATGCACGGAGCCTACAAGCCAAAATTTTAATTAGTGGTTGAAATTAAGGATTTTTTAATTATTTCGTCAAGATTGTAAATCAATTTAGTCCAACTTATTGGTAATACATGCTATATTCCTAAGATCACTTAACTATTATGAGAAATTTTGTTAATGCATCAATTGAAGTACTCTATATTTATTTATATTCCCTCTCTTTTTTTTTTTAAATAAGAAACAACATCTCTCATTATGGTGTCCTTTTGTCTGAGAATTTAAACTAGTCTTTTCACTCCATTTATTATCATTCACGTATTATGTCTTATGTACTCTTTTTGAAAATAAAGCTATAATTGGAAAAATATATATATTTTATATATTTATTATTTTTAACTAAATTTAACTAACATTTTCAACCTTGTGATTTGGTAGTTGCTTCTTATAATAATGAATGAGGGAATATTATTTTAAGACAATAATTCATGTATGAAAATTAAAAACCCACCTGTAAAATAGAAGATTTTGCATTTATTACAAGAACTAATGAAATTCAAAATTTTCTTGACTAATGCATGAATGAAATAAACGCTACATTTTTCTTGCAGTAATATTATAAGTAAGATTTTGCTTATGTAATACTTTCTCTCGTTCATAATATAAGACGTTACTTAAGGGAAAAAAAACTGTAGTCTAAAATAGAAGATTTTGTTAGAATAATTAATGTAAACTTTTTTACTTCCATTTCTATTAAATATAGGAGAGAGATTAGAGATGATATAAGTATATCATTAAAAGGCAATTTTACAATTTTCTAGCGATAAAATAAGAAAACTTTATCATTTTGAAACAAATTTAATGACTTCTTATATTATGGGATAGAAGGAGTAACATAGTTATTTAAGAAAGATATTAAACAAATTTATGCATTATGAAATGATTCACCAATCACATACGTAATAATTTCAGGCCAAAAAAAAATCACATACGTAATAATTGACAAACAAAACCACTATATTTGAATAGCTTATTATTAATACTAATATTATATTTAAATGACTTAGAATATTTTGGATGAAATACTCTTTTGGTTCTATTTATAGGACAGAGAGAAAAAACATTTTTTAATCCTATTTATAGAGTATTGAGAAATTTTTTTATGGATATATAATTTTACTTTTTGTTTATTATTGTGTGGACTTTGTTTACATGAAACATAATGTATATTAAATATGGATAAAATTGAAAAGTTGTTGAATTTTAAATAAGAGTTAATAAAATTTAATGTTTTTCTTAGTCTGTACGAAATATTTTGAAAATAACTTATAAATAAGACCAGATGAGTAATTTAGTAAGTAACTAATCAATAGAAAATAAATTGCCTGCAATGAATGTTGTACACTTAAAGTGCATGTAGTTACAGACCAAACAAAAAAAAACAAATCATAATTATGTCTGAAAGATACAATTTCTTCTTCGTTTAAAGCTCAGCAAATATAGGAAACCTGCTAAATCATCTTCGATTATTGTTTTCTTTTTATATACAGGATATAATTTTTGATGTGCATGGTCTTATATCTATGATATATAAAAGATGCCTGAAATTTTAACCAATCTTTTTCTTCATTAGATGTCCTAACACTCTATCAATTAATCAGACACATTCTCTCTAATCTCTTTTTCACTGTTCATAACATTATCTCTAAGAACATTTTGAAAAAAATACATTCTTTTTATATATATTTATTACTTTTAAGGATTTTAATTCATTTTTATGTACATATTTAACTATTCATGCACAAACGAGTAGGAAAATTTTACCGTCAACGGACAAGTAAAAGCAAAGCGACTTCCTTTGAACTACTTGTCCTGACAATCGATAAAAAATTGCCAAGGAGCTCATTCAAAGATGTTTTCTTTTTTGTCTTGGATTTTCACCCACTTTGATTTCCTTCCTTCGGGGATTTACTTCGTTTGACCCATTTTGGTTTCTCGGAAAGAGAGAGCGTGACGTCTCTCTAACTTCCGCGCTCCCTCCTCCTTTCAGGCTTTCACTGTGTGCCCGTTACAAACATTTCTCAGGCGACTTATATTTTTTTGTTTTTCCTTCACAGGCTTCCTGTTCTCCAACCAAACCCTCTTTCCTCCTTTTTTCGGCGCCTAAAACCCAATTTTTCGAATTATTTTTTTCACTCCTTGCAGGGATCACAAGTTGTGCTGGGAATTATAGTTCTTCCTCTTCTTCAAATGGAGTTCGTGGGCAGAACTGTTAAGAAGGAGGTCAAGGGGGTTGGGATTATTTCGGGAACAGTGAAATCTTTCGATTCATCGTCTGGTTTCGTTGAGATCGTTTATGAAGATGGTAATTCTGAGGAGCTTGAATCGTCTGACGTGGCTTCTCTTGTTCAAGGGGAACCAGAGTTAGTAAAGGTGAAGCGCCGGGGAAGGAAACCCAAGAAGAGGCGTCGTGTAGAAAGGAAGCATGACACCAGTGGAAGCCCAGGTAATATTGATGAGAATTTGGGTGTTTCCATGCTAAATGATTCTGAATTGAGGGGGGTTTCTGATGAAGGTGTTTCTTCTAGTGGGAATTTAAAAGTAAATGGTGAATTAGATAGTGGGTTGAAGGGAAGCCCGGGGGCGGCAAATGGGGCAGGAGGGAATTTGACTTTGGGAACTGAAATAATGGGGAATTTGAATTGGAGTGCCAGCTCTAACGGGATCAAAGAAATTCAACGGACGGAAAGCGGGAATGAAGAGAAATCCAAAGAAAGTATATCTACTAATGGTAATTCCAGCATAACGGATTGTGTAAAAGACGGGCTTGATTTGAATGCCAGACTTAACCTGAACGAGGCCTTGGATCTGAATGATGGATGTAGCTCACATGTTAATACTGAGAATGGTTTGAAGGAACGGGGTTGCATTGATTTAAATGTGGATGTGAATCATGAAATTGATGCCAGCGGGGACGTGACTGCTGTAGATTGTCCAGCAGTTGGAATTTCGAAGCGGGAATGTAATTTTGATTTGAATGAGGAGGTATGCGATGAAGCTAAGGAAACTCAGGGTGATAATGCTGGAGAGAAACTGTCAGATGGAGGTGGTTTGTTTAAAATGGGGCAAAGCCCTAAGTCAGAGACGGATATTAATCAAAATTCTGTACAAGATGATAGTGTTAAAGGAAATTTGGATTATATCCCTGATTCGATGAAATTGGAGGGAATTGATTGTTTCCGTGAGCGTACAGGTGAAGACGCTTCTGTGAGTATGATTGAGCAAAAGGAAGATGGAGGTACTGTGGCTTTTGACTCTCATGGGGTTTCAAATGCTATTTCTTCTAAGGATTGTGATTCTCTGGAGGTTTGGCAGGAGCATAGTCCTGAAGCTGGTATTGCTATAACTCAAGAATGTCAAAATGATCCAGGAAGCCAATATAAACAAGGAAGGGCCGAAGGAAGAGAAGAAAACTATCAGAGAATCTAAAGGCCGCTCCAGAGACAGTTTTAAGGAGGAGTTCTCGCCGTGCATCAGCTTTAAAACGTGACTCAAGCCCTATAACAAGGAATGTGATGGATGATCCTTTCATGTCTCCAGGGCCCAGTGCCATAACAGAAGAAAAAACGGTTGTTTCTGGTTCTGAGCAGTATGAACAGTGCAGTGAACTTCCGCCAAAGCTGCAACTCCCCCCTTCTTCTCAAAATTTGAACTTAGATAACATTCCTATTCTTGATCTTTTTTCCATTTATGCTTGTTTGAGGTCCTTCAGTACTATACTATTTTTAAGTCCTTTTGAGTTGGAAGATTTTGTAACTGCACTGAAGAGTGTAAATCCTAACATATTATTTGACAACATTCATGTTTCTATTTTACAAACTCTTAGAAAGCACTTGGAATACCTTTCAAATGAGGGTTGCCAATCTGCATCCGATTGCCTGAGGTATATTTTATTTTTGCATCCATTGGTCTTACAAATCAACATATTTGGTCTTGATTCTTGTGGATTATATACATTTTCATCATATTTTTTCTTGCAGAAATTTGAACTGGGATTTGTTGGATCTGGTCACATGGCCTATTTTTATGGCTGAGTATCTTCTGATTCATGGTTCTGGACTTAAAACTGGTTTTGATATTAAGTACTTCATGTTTGGGGGTGACTACTACAAGCAGCCTGTAACTTTAAAGATTGAAATTCTTCAGTGCCTTTGTGATGATATGATGGAAGTGGAAGCCATAAGGTTGGAGCTTAACAGAAGATCTTTGGTTACTGAGGCTGATATGAGTTTTGATCAAAGTATGTATTTTGACATTTGCAAGAAAAGAAGAGCTCCGATGGACATGTCTGGTGGCTTTTCTCTGTCTGAGGAGATTGTTGATGTCACAACTGACTGGAACAGTGATGACTGTTACCTTTGCAAGATGGATGGAAGTTTAATATGTTGTGATGGTTGCCCTGCTGCATTCCACTCCAGGTGTGTAGGGGTTGCAAATGACCATTTACCTGAAGGTGACTGGTATTGCCCTGAGTGTGCAATTGGCAGACGTAAGCCTTGGATGAAACCACAAAAATCACTTCGAGGAGCAGATCTTTTAGGAATTGATCCTCATGGTCGTCTTTATTTTGATAGCTGTGGTTACCTGTTAGTGTAAGTGTGCACATACCTTTTATCTGGATATTGATACTACTTCCTTCGCTATTATAAATGTCAACTCTTCTTCTACTATAGGTGCTTGCACTGGGTTGCCTTATAAATAATAATTCTAAGTTTGGGAGCATATGTCAGAGGAATGCATGATATGGATTTACATAAATTGGAGGTCAGTCAAGAAAATCTTGGGCTTGTTTGGATGGATAGCACGGGATGGAATAGAATGGAATGAAATAATCAAAGCGGGTAGGGAAATTGCTTAGGAGTTTTATTTTAATGATAGAGTGGAATGGTAATTGACAATCTCTCAGACCACTTCCTGCTCCCAGTTAGCATCTCAGCCAATTACAATTATATCCTCCTTGGTTAAAAACTTGCTAGAATCACATTCTAATTGCAAGGATAATTTTTAAAATAATTTATAAACCTTTCCATTTCATTAATGTCTCCCTATCTGGCCACATTAAATTCCCAAATAGTTGAGTGATGCATGACTTACCAGTCAGTTCCCTCACCAGTCGGTTCCCTCATAAACTTCGAAACATAATTCTAGTCTTATTGTCGTTTTGGGGTGATTTGCAATGAACTAATGACTTCTATTTGATATTTTATGCTCCTCCCTGATCTGACTCACTGTGGTTGCCTTGCACCTTTATATGAGAAAATGCTAGCCACATTGTAGTTTTGACGATACAGATTTACAGTCCTATATTAATTTGTTTTGCCTTTGATCATCTTGCTTTCTGCTCACTTTATCTGGTTTTTAAAAATATTTCAGATCAGATTCATCTGACATGAGATCCTTGTTCAATTACTACCACATTAATGATCTGCATGTTGTAATTGAGGTGCTAAAAGCGGCTGATGCTTTCTATGGTAGCATATTAATGGCAATCTGCAAGCACTGGGAAATTCCTTTTAACTTAAATGGAGCAGCTTATCAGCTGGAACTCTCAAATCAAAGTGCTAGCAGGTACATGCACATGAAGACAGAATACTCTGCTATATATCCATCCCCAGCACCTTTTTCATCCTCAGAAGCATTCTTGGACACTAATCAGGCTGCCGATCAAAGAAATTATGAAGAAACTTCTACTGCACAACCTTTTGGCCAAGAGTTTCTCAAAGCTGAGAGACAGTTAGATTCAGTGATAACAACAGAAAGTCCCTGTGTTGCTTCAGAGGTATCAGCTGAAACAACAAAAATGAGATCAACCACTGATGATGATCCTCGAACATATGGATTCCATGATTCCAATAGACCTGGTGGAGCCCTGAATCAGCCGGGAATACCAGAGAAATTGCACACAGTCAGTCGTGCTTCTCTGAGGTCTTCCCGCTTAGATACAAGCCACAAGGTAAACTTAACATCTGCAGGTGCTGGTTATACCGCATCAGCTAAGTCCACTGGGAATAGAGCTACTTCAGAAATGCTATGTGGAACTGACTACATAAACTATTACAGCTTTGCTCGAACGGCTTCACTAGTGGCTGAGGAGTTGATACGTAAATCTCCTGAAAAAACCAACAAGAGTATTGAAATGTCTGAAGAAGACTTAATTTCAGAACAAGCGAAGGCTATTATTAAGAAATCTACGAACTTCTGCTGGCCAAGTTCTCAAAGTGTTAATGCAGCTGCCCGAAAGGAAAAATGTGGGTGGTGCTTTACATGCAAAGTTGAAAATGATGACAGAGATTGCTTGTTTAACTCTGTGGTGATGCCTATTCAGGAAGTTTCTAAAAGTGATTTAGTTGGATTTCAACCAAAGAACCAGAATGCCCATCTTAAAGATGTCATATTTTATATTCTCTCCCTTGAGGATCGATTACGTGGGCTTCTACTGGGGCCATGGTTGAGCCTCCATCATTCTAAGAATTGGCGTAACAATCTTCTTAAGGCATCTGATGTTGCATCTATTAAATGCTCATTACTGACTGTAAGGATTTGTTTCCTTTGTCTCTTCCGGTTATTTATTGCAAAATATATCTTTCAATAATCAGCTGTGTGAGTAGCTTATATTGCAATTGCAATTATGAAAATCTTTTTGACATCATTGATCGAGTCATTTCTATTCGGTAGTATTGTGATGACCCATGTAAAATTTTCTCCCAAATCTTTACTGGCAGTAATTAAGTGGAACAAACTATTGTTGATCTATGTCAATATGTGTTTAACCCTCGACGAGTGGGTATCTCTGCAATTTTAATATTCTTTTAGCACTATTTGTTGATTACTAAATAGTCAAAATCAAAATTATACTTAGGGTTTGGCCAAGGGGTGCTGAGGATCAAATCATAGGATTCAATTAATAATTCGTTTGATCATGCCATCCCATGAAAGTAAGTTTTGAAAACGTATATTATTTCTTTCTGAATCATTAACTAGCATATTAGCTTCCTAGCCCTCATTAATGTACAAGTCACTTGAAGCACGCTTATTAAACATAATTAATTATACAAGCTATATATAAAATGTGTATCACACAACTTGTTGATTGGCAATTCTGTTTTTCATGTACATAATTAATCATGCCTTTCTCCTGCTATTGACAACGGGGGGCTCGAACTTGTTCCGTTGCTTTTGTGCTTTCTGTTGTTATTGAGGATGAGATGATGGTTTTCAGATTAATTGGATCTCAAGCCTCATCACCACAAACCTGGACGGGGCTCAGATCGTCTAGGTTTTGGATTTACATTGTCCTCTGGTTCATACTTAGGCATCCTTAATCTTTTCTGCAGTTAGAGTCCAACTTGCGGCCTCTTGCTCTTTCGGCAGACTGGTGGAAACATGTGGATTCTGCTGTTACCATGGGTTCGGCTTGTCATATTGTGGCCAGTTCACGCACATCTTGGAGGCATAGTATTGGAAGGAAAAGGGCAAGGTGCTCTGATATTGAGTCCAGTGCATCTTCTAACGCAAGTGGTTTGGGAACGTATTGGTGGAGAGGTGGTCGGCTTTCCCGTCATTTGTTTAATTGGAAGGTTCTGCCATGCTCTTTGGTTACCAAGGCTGCTAGACAAGGTTTGCAAATTATTTCCACATCTATATTTTAGTGCTTGTGTTAGGAGTTATTTAATCCTAGCGATTAGTTTGAATTTTTCTGAAGTTAGACATTTTACAGCTGGGTGTGCAAAGATACCGGGCATTCTATATCTTGAGAATTCTGATTTTCCAAAGAGAAGCAAATGTGTTGCTTGGAGAGCTGCTGTTGAGACATCAATTAGTGTGGAGCAACTTGCCATCCAGGTAAGATCATTTTAATTAGGACTTACCCATTTGTGGTCTTTAACACTGGTATTGTAGTTGGATTATTTAGGATAACATTCTTATCGGTTTTGGTACCTTAGTTGCACTCTTGTTTCTATGGTTGATGTTTAGTTTCAAATTTGAGCTTATCACTACCATATATTTTAGTGTTGTCAATTAATTTAGTCTTAATGACATCAACCGTGATATTAGTTAATTTGAGCTAATCAATCAACATTTAACTCCGTTCCTTAACAGCTCCCCTGAACATTTTTCTTGCAATCTATTCTTGGTCTGTCGAGAACATTAAACAAAAGGGCCAGAAGGTCAATACAGTAAATTCAATCTTTTGGAATGAAAGATCCATATATGTTTTCTATGTCTTAGTGCCCTTTTGGATTAGCAGTGAATAATTGTGATTTTAGATAATTGTGAATTTTATAAGTGACACTGGCTATAAGTAATGTTGGTTAATCGTGATTTCTGTTTGGATATATATATTTTTTATTAGTGACTTTAAGAATTGTAATTATGTTTGGTTTGCATTTATTAAAATCACTTATGGATGTACAATTACCAAAAAGGCATGAATCTAATAAATATTATTAAATATAATCATTTGGGGAGAGATTTTCGGAAGAGTGTGGGATGATTGGTTGGAGAAATTCAGTTGATAAAAATTGATAGGAATTCTTCAAATGCATAAGTTATTCCTTGGTGCTTATCCTAAAAGTGCGGTAAAAGAGTGAAATCATGATTCATGGAGATTTTGTAAAAATTACCCAAATAAGATAAACATGCTTCATAATTACTTATTTAGATTCAAACAGACTTATTTGAGTTCTCATCGCTTAACCAAATAGGCACTTGGGCACCGCCAAATAAATGGATACTAATGATTGGGGTAAGGTCTTGCTGTGAAAATTCTAGCAATGCTTCCAGTTGAAAGGAACAAATTAGTGAAAGCATTGATTTTGAATGAAACATCTTTACCTTTTTTTTATTGAACTATTTTAACCAAAACAATTGTTTTTCAAAATGTGAAACTAACATGCTCCTAACAAATAGTAACTAAACTGCACCATGTACGCCGTCCCAATGGGCTGCACTAGAATTGAGGGCTGTTTTTGGAATAAGATGACTGGTGATGAAAACGTACCTATTCATGCAAAGACGCAAACTCGGGCATGGTTTGATAATTTTTAGTACATTTTGGCTTTATACTCTTGCTAAACTATCAGTAACAGTAGGTTATAAAATTGCACTTATTGTCATGAATTAGCTGTCTCTTATGTTCTAAGTTCATTAAGCTATGGCGGGGTTTCAGGTTAGAGAGCTTGATTCAAACATTAGGTGGCATGACATTGAGAATACTCATCCTCTATGGGCGTTGGACAAGGAATCCAGAAAATCAATCAGGCTGTTCAAAAAAGTAATTGTACGCAGGAAGAGCACTGAAAGGGAAACCGTAAAATATCTTCTTGATTTTGGGAAGAGAAGGGCTATACCAGATATTGTTAAGAAACATGGTTCTTTGTTGGAAGAATCCTCAAGTGACAGGAAAAAATATTGGCTGGAAGAACCTTATGTTCCCTTGCATCTTATAAAGAATTTTGAGGACAAAAAAATTGCTCGCAAGTCCAATGAAACGAAACCAGGAAAAGTTCTGGCGATCAGTGGATTTAATAAGAGAGCTCCGCAAAAACGGGGTTTTTCATATTTGTTTTCTAGGATGGAAAGGCCTACCTATCATCAGTGCGGCCACTGCAACAAAGATGTCCTAACCAGGTATCTTTTGAGGTCACTTTTGCTTAGAAATGTTTTGATTTCAGTTCCATATCCTGCGTCCCCCCCCCCCTCTAGTTATGTTATTTGCAGCACTTGCATATTCTGGTTTGGTTGTATCTGAGTTTAAAATGCATTCATTTGTGTGATTTTAATATTAGAATAAACATGTTAGAGAAGAGGTGAAAAGAAATGCAAGGACGGGAGACAGGATTGCCATTGAATAGAAATGGAGAAAACGTTATGTTCTTAACGGAAGTTATTGGCTTGCTTAGTTAGGCATCTGATGTCTCAATTTACAGTTATAAATTAGATAAAGCATAAGGGTTAGGGCATATAATGCGAGTCATCCCACTAATCATCTAGACACTTGGTTTAATTAACCTAGCCATCACATTCACTATTCCAACAAGGAAAGAAAAGATAAGAAAAGAAAATCTGAAACAAATGTGGAAAGCGTATCAAGGAAGCCAACATAAACAGTCTCTCTGCATGTTTTAATAAGAAACCCTGAGCAGAAGACATGAATAGCACGTTTTATTAAGTTAATATTCAGAAATGCGGGCCTTGCTATCTTTTCTGGGGTGGAATTGTGTACATGACATTGTTGCTTTATTTAGTCTGGTCTTCCAAAACCAGTCCAGTTTTGGCTAATTTAGCTGATCTCTGATTGGTTCTATTCTAGTCCAGTTTTCGTCATATTCTGGTCTGGACTAAGGACCGCTTTGTGTTCCAGTCAGCTGAAGCAGCTGGTCTAGTTGGGTTTTTTAATCCTTGGTTAATGGCATTTTGATGTTCTTACCTTAATTATTCCCTAGTAACTTTTTCCCCCATTTCTTGCCAGGGAAGCTGTGAGCTGCCAGTACTGTAATGGTGAGCATTTGCACTTAAATCTGGTGCTTTTGATTTCTCTTGGTGATGTTTACTGCAGCTTGTTGATGGAATTTTTGTGTTGTTTCATCGTACCATCTCAGTTACTTGGACTTATGTCTTGAATCAAAACTTGTTAGCCTTTGCATATAGAAAAAAAAATTTTAGGCTTTCAATGCAGATACAAGATGTAGCCATGAATATGTTTACGCATGATTTTCTTTCTCTTTTTGTACAATGCATACAAGTTATTTTTGTTTATGGTAGTACTTATATTTGCCATTTTTCTGGATGAGATTTGTTTATATCATCTATGGGTTCGGTCATGATCGATGTTGAAATCTCATTATACTTTTTATGGGAGTTGACATGGTCATTTCTTTTGTGCTTAAAGTTTCAAACTTAAATATAAAGATAACCTTCAATTGGATGCTATGGGGAGAACTCAGCTCGTGGATATAATTGTAATAGTTGGAAATGGTTTTTTGGGGTGCTAGTGGTAGATAGAGTTTTTGAGAAAGCTCTGGACTATATAAAGGGATCAGAGTACCTATGTAAGCATCGTGATGGTAATGAAGTGAGTAGGTGGAATCCATTGCTTTTGATGCCTGTTAAAATCAATTTTGCGTCATTGGATCCAACATCTTTCTACCATGAATTTTATATGTAGAAAATTTTACGGTAACTCAAAGGTTTTTAGTGTACCATCACTATATCATAAAATGAATGTATGATATTATTTTCAAGTATAAGAATCAATTACCTCCTTGATCGTGTGTATTGATGTTATTGAATCTTTCTGAAAACTGGCATGCAGGATTAGTGGGGTTATTAGTTTTAATACGACAGTCAGAACGATGACAAGTGCATTGGACAATAGGATATTGAAATGAAAAGTTTTAAGTAAAAATTCTTTTTCATGTCAATTGATTCCTAGTCACACACACACGGAGTTTACCATTATGCATTTTTCTATAAAAAGTGGAAAACATAATTCAAAACAAGGATTACAAGATGAAGTAACGTGAAGACTAACGGAAGTGCACATAAAACAAAAGGCTATTTTGAGATTGGTGAGGTAGGTATAGATCATGTAAAAAGAAAATAAATATATGTTTAGATCTCCCAGGTTGCGGTTTCCTAGTTATTTTTGACATGTCTAGTAGGGAGACCCAAAATAGATGTGTGGGCAGCTCCTGAACCTTGGTCAACGCTTAGGTTGGCACTATTAGTTCGGGTGCTTGATATGCTTTATGGCTAGGCGCAAGACAAGCTTCTTGGTCCTTGGCTTCTTTAAATCAGTAAAAAAGGGAAAGTGTGCATATAAGGGAAGCCCTATATCGATTTGTTTACTTTTGGAGACTCTTGTTGCATAAACTGCTTATGGAAACTCTTGTTGAAACGTAGTGGCACCATTATGATATTGGATGAGCCGTTTTGGGCAAAATATAATCAGATAGATGAAAAGTCAGTTAAATTGAATATAAGGATATGTGGAATCTCTCTGATACCTAATGCTTTGTTTCTTATGTTTGATTTTGAGTTTATTTTGGATGTAAACCCTTTTTTGACTTGTGTAATTGAGTGTCGTGTAATTTGAATTATATAACTGAAGCATTAGAAGTTGTTTTATTGTATACAATTCTTGCTTCACTTGGGAGGCACCTCGCTTTTGCCAGCCGGATGTATGTCTACACACACGAGCGCGCGCACACACAAACACAAAAGAACTGATAATGATACCTGTTCCTACCTTTTCTCAGGGCGAGACATGGAAAATATGTATGAATTTTCGTATGATTCAATATTTGAAACTTTCTATGCTTCTTATGCTGCTTCTTTCCCCTTTTCTTAGTGTTGTGTATGCGAACTTATTTGTACTCCAATATCTGATGACAGGATTCTTCCATAAGAGGCATGTCAGAAAATCTGGTAGCACTGCTGAATGCAGATATTCGTGTCACAGATGCCTGGATGGGATGCATGTAAATTCTAATTCTAAAAGAAGAAAACTTGACCCAAAACTAGGGAATATTCAGTCACAAAAGGGTCGAAAGGTTCCTTCAGTGGGCAGACCAGTTAAGCAAAAAGGCAGCAAAAAGCCATTGAGCAAGAGGCGGCAAGGAAAATCTCAAACCAATAAGAAGGTCCCGTCAAGTATACCTCTTCGTCGATCAGCTAGGAAGGCCAAATGCTTGTATGTGCAAAAGAAAAGGAATGTGGGACGTAAAAAGGGAAAGAAAAGTAAATCCAAGAAGGTGACATCTAGGAAGCCCAAGGAAACATCTAGGAAGCCCAAGGAAACTACTTCTCGTTCTAAGACAGCAGTAACTTTTGAGCGTAAGAAACGAACTCATATCTGTAATAGTTACTGGCTCAATGGTCTTAGGTTGTCCACAAAGCCAAATGATGAACGAGTAATGCTGTTTAAGGAGAAAAAGCATCTTGGTACCTCAGAAGGTCTTTCTAGCACCTTTGATCAACCAAAATGTCATCTTTGTTGTGGAGATGGGTGCACTTTGAATTATATTGCTTGTGAAATCTGTGGAGGTAACTTCTTTGCCACTGTTCTTTACTTTTTAGTAAGGGGATAGGATGGAAAGAAAATATTATATATCAAATGATAGCCTGCTTCTTAATGGTTGGGATACCATTTCAACTATGTTTTATAAGGTATTAGCTGCTGCTTTATGGTGCTTTTTCTGTATTTTTTTGGGGTCAAAATGGTGGATTTTTTGTATTAAATATGTATTGTAGTGTGATCTAACTTGATGCGTTAATATGCAGAGTGGTTTCATGGGGATGCTTTTGGACTCACTCTGGAGAATGTCAGACAACTCATTGGATTTCGGTGTCATGTTTGTCGTGATAGGACTGCACCAATGTGTCCCCACAAGAATAATAATGCCATGACTCATGCTGAAATCAAAGCAGCAACCGAGTATGCAGAGGAACTACCTAATTCTGTTTCACTTCAGCCATTGAGTCAGGTACACTCCTGCAACTTCTTAAGATCCATGAAAAGGTCGTATTATCATAATTACACCTGAATTTCGTGATGACAAGCTTTTACTGGTATTTAACGCCTTATTTTATCCTTTTTTTTTTTGACAAAAGGAATATTTATTAGTGGTCAACTGTTTGTAATCTTTTCTTGGAATAATTTTCATGTGAACAATTTTCACATTCTAGCTCTGTTAATGAATTAGAAAGGCTAGCTTGTGGTGGTTGATTGGTGTAACTAGCTAGAGCAGTGGTATAACATAATTATAGAAAACTGAATATTAACTACTTTGAAACTATAATTTTGGATGATTTGGCCTTTTCCATTATTAATAATATGACTGAATTATTTTGTTAGGACCCTTTAATAAAAACAGGAAGTCGCAAAGCCCAAAAACATTGCTTGTGAATGTGAATGTGTGTGTTCGTTCTATTGATTGTATGAACATGGTCTAATAGATGTCCTGTGGAAGTGCAAAAAGCTATCAACCCAATGATCATATATAGCAAGTTTGTATAAGATTCTTATATCTGGCTTCACTGCAGGTTTAGTGATTCGTACGGAAAGGATATACAGTTGGACACCGGACGCCAATTTCTTGTAGGTCCTTTTTCTTCCTGCAGGAGAATGATGCTCCTTCATCAGTTCCATTCAAATTAAAAATGAAAAAGAAAAAAAGGAAAAAAAGAAAAAAAGAAACAGGGAAAACTAACCAGTTTGATGGTCGTCACAAGAGGAGAAATGATTGATCGATCAGAATCTTGTGGTGCAGCATGCTACCATTTAGAGGGAAAGAAGAATAATGGCAAGGACAAACATGTTAGAGAGGCTGAAGAAAATTGCATTTGAGGAGGATAGCTTAGAGAATTCATACATTAATTGCATTATTAATGATTGTTAATCTAATCCATGTGTATTCATTTTAGTTACATTCTTTCTCATGTAAGTCATATTGGAATGATTCCCTGGCTGTCCTTTATATTTAAACCTTTTGAAGAAATCAAATATATGATCATAGCATTGCTTACTTGGCAAGGAGGAATTATAGCCCTGCAAGAATGTTTCTGCAGTCATTATTCCTTGATCAAGAAAAAAGAAAGGAAAAGAAACTAAAAAGCTCATTTTCAGGTTTGTAGCTAGTAATAAGTCATTTGGCCATCATGTTCTTGTGGCTCCATTATATAGTAGCTGCTATTATAGTGTATATATAGGATGTTGTATTGTTCACTGGCTGTGAACAACACATCTTATTTGAGATCTGTGTTGTTAAACAGATCAAACGGGATGCCTGAGTAATTAAAGAAGGTGAGCTTTTAAGTGTAATCTGAGTTTGACCTTGAAATAAGGGAACTCTTGAAAAGGTTCATGATGACACATTCCTGTGTTTTTTGAATTTTTTCTCCTTTAAAAGCATGATTTGTAATGTTTATGGATGAAATTGTGTAAGTAGTGTTAGCTTTACTTTTGTCATCAACTTGTAGTCAATCACAAGGTAATTAATAAACTCATTAAAGAAAGGTAAAAATATGTAAAGTATTTTTCATATTTATGAAATAGAGCAAGGTCCCATATTTAGCATCAAGCGTTTTTTTTTTGTCAGGGGAAAAAAACTTTGACAGGAAAAAGGGAAAAAAGACTCCATTTGCATGTGCTATATTGCATGACGTAAATAGTAAGTAGTTATTGTTAGTTTGGTGGAAGTTAACTTAAAAATAACCTTTTATATTAATTAACTTATAAATGGCAAAGGATTTTAGTTAATTTCATTATCTGTCACAAGCAATAGTTTCAATTGTTTTTAGAAATAGCAAAGGTGCGGGGGAAAATCAATGTAACTTTTAGTGAGTTTATTGTAGGAAATCCATTAATATAAATATAAAATATATAGAAAATCAATATTAATTATAAGTTACAAATAGCATGGTATTGAAATCCGGATTGGATTAGCTGGTTCAACTTGAAAACCGGTACCAGAGCTAAATTGACTATGATTAACTGGGCCCAGTTGCTTTTTTTTTTAACCTATTTTAATCAAATTTTTTTTCCTTTTTCCTTTGTAAGTTGTTGATAATTTTTACTTAGTAATTGAAGGATTTTAGGGAGGAATATTTTGTTATCATTTTGTTAGGATAAATATTTAGTGACTTTGGTAGCATATATGATATTATGATTTTAATTTGTCAAAGTAATTGTAAATAAGGTTGGAAAGAAATTGTAAGCATACAACTATTTTGTTAGTAATCAAGGTACTAAATTGATATTTACTCTTTGGATGGTACAATGAAAATTTAAGTTTTTTTTAATTTTTTATTGGTTTGATCTCTTGGTTGACTCTGATCTAACCCATTCATCTTTGACTCACTGCGTCAACTAGTTCGATAACTAGTCTGATTTTTTATACCTTGATAAATAGTGAAACTTGCCTAAAATTTCATGCAATCTATGACAAATATGTTTAGCTCATACTTATTTGTTAAAATAAAAATATGTTAGGATAAAAGATCATAGAAGTAATGTTGAAATTTAATTTTAAAAAAACATTGGATCATAGAAGAATTTTCATTATTTGGAAACCATTTGTTGTGAACAAATTTTCCATTGGACTTGAGCTGTTGCAACCTATGGGGAGTATTGAATTTTTTGAATGGAAATCTGGATATCATTACTTAAAGCAAAAGATTACAACTAGAGCCCTTCATCACTATCTGCCTCTGGACACAGAGGTGGAGGTTGATCAAGGATACAAAAGCTATTAGCTGTAGTACGAGACAATTTAGCTAGGAAATCCGCAGTACGGTTTCCTTCCCTGTGGACATGATGGATCTGAACTACCCAATTCCTATGAATTAGGATCCTAGCATCATTAACAATATCACAAAAAGGGTGGTCACTTGTACAACCCCAATTTAGCATAGCAATGGCTTTTATACAATCACTAACAAGGTTAATTTTCCTAAAACCTCTATTCCAGCACGTGGTTAGGCCATGAATGATACTGATCAACTCTGCGATAGTAGGAGGAACATTTGTGAGTTTGCAGCAGAATCCATCAATCCAATCATTAGATGCCTTCTTTATGACCCTTCTGCATCCACTTTGTCCATCTTGGAGAACCAAGCCATCTACCTCCAGCTTAACAAAGTCATCATCTGTAGAAGCTTGTCGTACTTTATGGTGTGGGTGTAGATTGTAAAACTTGTTGTTATGAAGCAACTTCTAGTCTATACAAGCTCTCAAAAAAGTGTTATGTGCATTCTGGTTAAAACCATCTTCATTGGTACCAAAGAGTTTGTTGCACCTATTGACCCATATGTCCTAGCACATGTAACCAAACAAGGTTGATCGATGGATTTTCTTTGTGAAGTGAAGTCTTGCTTCATGGGTGAGATTCCACTTGATCCATTCGATACCTTGTAAGGAGAAAAAGGGATTCCAATAGGAGGGCTTAATGATTGCTTTCCATTTCTCCTTGGCATTTAGGTAGTCCCTCAATATATGCATAGAGTTCTTCTCTTGATCACATCCGAACGAATAGTTGTCTATCACTTGAAGTCCTCTACTCCTTCTGAGGTTCACAATATGTGCTCTTCCATGTGCAAAAAGCCACATGAGCGACTTGATCTTCTCAGGTACTTGTCATTTCCAGATTTGTTTCCACATGCTATTCCTGCTGCTATTGTAAATTAACCATCAGTTGACGGTCTCCAATAGATTTTGTCCTCTACTCTCTCTTCACGGGGTGGATGTGCACTAGTCATCTGAGCAATATTGTTCCCATCAAATTACCGTTTCAATTTCCATCTGTCCTTCTCTCCTCCAAGCTCCACATAGTCTGCCCCTCTCATCCATATCAATCTCCCCCTCTCTTCTTGGAATGAGGTCTATGAGTAGGGTGTTTATGTCAGACCAATTAATAAACCAAAAAGAGGATTTATTATTCCTAACTTTGATGCCAAGCCCTTCCTTGAACTTCTCCCCAACAGTATAGATATCCCTCCAAGTGTGGGAGGAATTATATAGGAGTATTGAATTTTTGGGATCCATTAGATGATGAACTAAGCAATATCTAAAAGTTAAAGTGTTCTTAATATAAGACCAAACTTGCATCCACTTACTTATTACCGAACACCAGTTTTCCAGTAAATACGTGCCGTTTGTATTTTTTTTAATAGATGTCATCATTAATGGCGTTAATTCACCCCACAGTCTCAGAGTCTCTCTTTCCCCCTCTTCATCTCTGTTCATGACTGCAAATTAAAGGACGCGCACCAACCAAACAGTTCACCACAAAATCATGAAAGCATATTCACTGGTGTCGTAGAAGTCATCGTAGATCATTGTTTTCGCCGATGTCAATGCCAGCGACCCCACCATTACAACAGAGTTTCGGTCTCAGACAAAACTTCGGTAGCGGCAAGCTGCTTTGCGGTTGAGACAAGTTAAACACCGAACCTGAGAATATTCCTAATTTTCCCTCTTCCTCATGCTATGGTTAAAATGACAGGAAGGTGCTTGGAAAGCTCCGATGGGCGAGAAGAAGCTCCGATATGGATCGAGATGCTGATTTTAGATATCTCCTCGATCTTCTTCTCCCTTGGCTTGCTTTGATCTCGAGTGAGAGAAACACGTCTCTAAATTTGTTCCTTCGAGCCGGCGGAGGAAGGCTAGAGAAGCCCTGACTGAGGCTTCTGGAGAAATTAAAAACAAACACATGTCATTTACTCAATTGAAATAAGAAAAAATGACACGAGTGAGAGGAAGGGTGGAGACTGGAGAGTACAGGCGGAGTCATTGGGAATTACTGTATCTCGTCTTAATTATATTATAGGACGAGATTAATAGATTGTAAATAAGATTTTATAATTAAGACTGAAAATAATAAGAGAGTATTTAGATATCTCAATAATCACTTTTTAAAAGTATTTTTTCACAAATCCAAACAAATTCTTCCACATATTTACTTTGTATACCGTAAAAATACTTCTAAACTATGATTTTGATCTTACCGAAATACCCCTAAATAAAAATGGTGATTCTGGGTTGTTCAGGGAAAAAAACAAAGGGACTCGGGACTGGGCAAGTGTGGTGAGATCGTGAGCAGAGATGGGGAGGATGCAAGAGAGAGAAATTAAGGGGTGAGTCGCGCTGTTAATGATGTGTTTTAAAAATACAGATGGCACATGTTCACTGGAAAACTGGACGTTTTGTATATAAATAATTGGATGTAAGTTTTCTTCTTTAATATAATACTCTGTCTATTCTTAATATAAAAGATACTTAAATTAATTTGGATAGATAAAAAAAACCAAATAAATTAGTTAATTATAATAAATAACATGATATTTCTAAAGTATCCCTCCTTATATTTTTTTAAGTTCTTATATAAACTTCAAATAATTAATTTAGAATAATAAATAATTGGTCAAAAACAATAAATAAGTTAGAAATATAGTTTTGTTTTCAAATGTATCTTTGTAATAAGCGAGAAAAAAGAGAAAAGGGAGTGTATAGGAAAATATGATAAGATAGTATGACAAGAGAGAGAAAATAAATAATTAAAGAGAAGATTAAAAAAAAACATTGAATATTCAGACAAATTTGAAATTAAAACTTATAAAATGAACCACGTCTCTATTCAAATAAAACCGGAGAGAGTATAAATTAAGTAAATTAATGTGGGCAAAAATGACAAATACCAGAGACAAGAAATTAATGTCTTAAAATTAAATCTAACCCCACCTAGTACACATATTAGAAAAGGATAGAGTAATAATAAAGTTATTTTCATTGTTAATTCTCTTGTCCCGCCAAAAAACCAACTCCTCACTCAAATGATGAAAAGGCAAACAGATGACTTAAAGACATTGTTAATGAACTGTGTAATACAAATGATGTTACGTGAAGGACAGACAACACAAAGCATTGTAGGATGGTGACCTGAGCTTATGGACTATAGGCACACATTTTTATTTTTTATTTTTTTAACTTTCACTAAGAAGGCTTGGACTCAAGCTTTTTAAAAAGTACTCATTTAATCT